TTATTATGAATTTTTCTGTATACTCGCAGTTACAAAAAACATTGTCAAGACAAGTAGCAGACGTGGCAGTTACACGAGTGGGTTCATGAAAGACATGACATAAATCAAACGACTGAAATAAACTAATAAATTTTGTACATGTGGGTGTGTTACAAAGAATATCAACGTTAAAATCTCCACATACAATAATTTTTTTAATACTATTAAATACTTTTTTTTATAATATCCTCCATCACCCCTTCAAAAACATTGTAATCACTATTAGGAGGCCTGTACACACATATAAGGATATAATTTTCTAGTTCTATACAAGATAATTCTATACAACACTCAATAGAAAGTCTAACAATGTCAGCACGTTTCTTTACTTTAATATTATTTCTTGCAATTATCATAGACCCGCCTCTGTTAACTGACTTTCTATTGAAGCAGCTGACAACGTTATAATTATGTAAATTGAACATCATATTGCTTTCTTTAAGCCAATGTTCTGTGAAACAGACAATATCAATATTATACTTTTCTAAAAATAATTGTATAATTAACTCGCTGCCGGGAAAACTTTGTATGTTCTGATGAACAATTATTAATTCTGATTGCTTTCCCTTTGTCTTTGTGAGCAGTTTAAATCTGCAGTCATAGTACTTATGTCACAAATATTAATAGAATTATCTGTTATGTCAGCATTTTTATGTTTAAGTTTACCATGTAAACTGTTCATGTAGTCAATATTATAAGCCACTAAAGTGACTATTTTATTTTTAGATGATTTAGAAAGATACATTGTATCTTTTGTCAAATAAAAATATTGAGATAGAGATAGAGAAATTCACCAGAGGGAGACTTTGTACAAAAGTCAATTGCTTGGGTACCTCTGTCTAATTCGTGTTTCAACCGTAAAGCAGCTGTGTTTGCATGGCTGTGTTTCGGTTTGAAGGGTGGGATATGGCGTGAATTTACTGGGTACAGAGGAATAACACCTGAGTTCTCAGGAATGGCAACGCATGGGGGGTATCATGGGCGAAACAGTATACTCTGTTATGTCCATGGTACTGCTCATGTCTATAGGCGACGGTTACCACTTTACATCAGGTGGGCCGTCAGTTTGTTTGCTATTCTATGTTGTATAAAAAAAAACTTGAGATATCTTGTACCTATGTGTAATCTGAGCGGGCCGCTAGTTTTCTATACTATTTATTTTTTTATGTTAAAGGGCGATAAAGGAGCATACAGTTCTCATGATGGCAAGTAAATACAGCAGCGCGTGGACATTAAGAATACCAGGATCGGCAATATATTTAAAAAAGGTATATTTATTCTTTTATTTAAGGTCACCATGTCACCATTAATTATTTGTTTGTAATGGAGAAACTCAAATACTATTTAATTTTAAAAATCGTTTCACTTATTTTAAATTGCATCATCATGGGAGGGGACGGGGGATTGTTAGTAATGCGGACTTCCAATCCCATTTTTAGCAGTATAAACTGTCAGGTCGACCTCCACGTGGTCTCCCCTGGAAATCATCGTGCTGTATTCTAGGTGTAGGTATTCATCACGATGAACTAACTAGGCTAACAGACCTGCTCTCATGCTTATCAATCATCTATCACTGGTGCCCTGCCAGTGTATACCGTTAGCGCAAGCGGAGTTACTATTTCATTATCATTCATTAAAAAAAAATTAGATTATCAGTGAGTAAGACTATGTATTATTTACGAAAATTCTATCTAACCGTGTGAAGCCAGGATCGATCGCTAGTAGTAGGTATATGAAAATACAATGTCACGATATTTATTGACGGTGATCCCCGAAACCGTTTAACTAATCAAAGTTTGTAAGTATGTCAATACATACTTGATAGGTCCAAGTTGAGAAATTAATAGGATACTTCTGATTCCGATAAACAAATCCCATCAAGTACTAGTTGAAATGATACACCGTGGGTTCCATAGATAAATATGATGTTAATATGAGGTAAATTGATTTCATTCCTCATATGAAATAAATAGCTAATAATTATTATTATTTTTAGAGGTTTTTATGACAATTTCTCAAAAAACGGTGCTATTTAGAAATTTTGTTTTAGTTTTGACTACCATAAGGAACGGTCCTGAGCCACCTGCATCTACTGACTCCTTGCAATGCATTTTAGGTCTATCTTGTAGGGGGTCGTCCTACACTGCGTTTGCCCGTACGGGGTCGCCACTCAGGAATCTTTCTTCCCCATCGGTTGTTGGTTCTTCGAGCTATGTGACCAGCTCATTGCCACTTCAGCTTGCTTATTCTTCAGGCTACATGGGTTACTTTAATTCTTTTGAGGATATTCTCGTTTCGGACTCTATCACCTTTATAAACTAAAATAATTTAGGTTTTCCTCTTCACATACTTTGGTGTGGAAAAGGAACGGTTTTAAATTGACTTAAAAAAGGGGTTTCTCAATTTGTTTTTTTTTTATGTATAATAACTCTGTCAGATGTAAACGTCAGATTTTGATTTCTTTTTATCTGAAAGGATATATTTACGTAAAATTATTTTAATTTTATTAAAATCGGTTCAGTAGTTTAGTTTTTAAATTAAAATAATTAGTTTACTTATATTATATTATTATATATATACTATTATACAACTTAGAATGGCAAATAAGCTGACGGCCCACCTGAAGGAAAGTGGTAACCGTCGCCTATAGACATGAGCAATACCATGGACATAACAGAGTATACTGTTTCGCCCGTGATACCCCCCATGCGTTGCCATTCTTGAGGATTCAGGTATTATTTCTCCGTACCCAGTAAATTCACGCCCTATCCCATCCTTCAAACTGAAACACAGCCATGCAAACAACACAACTGCTTTACGGTTGAAACACGAATGGGACAGAGGTACTCAAGCAATCGACTTTTGTACAAAGTCTCCGTCTGGTTGTTTTGTAACAATTGAATTCAATCTTTTTTGCGACACACAGCCTAAATTATTCATCTTACATTTTCAGTTATAACTGAAAAACTACGCGATACAAAAATAAATAAAACTCAGGTTTAAAATACACAAAGCCATTTCATATAATACTACACGTAGACTAACAATGAAAAAAATATTTTTCGATTTATTTTCATTGCAATATGTGTCGGCTAATAATATATGTATAGGGGGGAAAGGGATTGTTAGTAATGGAGACTGAGAATCCCATTGCTAGCAATATACCCAACCAGGTCGACCTCCTCGCGGTTCCCCCTGGAAACTATCATGGTTAATTCCTGATGAATTCATCATGATGGGCTAACTGGCCTGTTTTCATTCTCATCTATCACCCTTCACTGGTGCCTCACCAGCGTATCCCGTTAGCGCAGGCGGGGTTACCATACCATTTTCACCCATCAAAAAAAATATATAATTGTTCTAAATGTCAAATTGATAATGTTAATAGCCACTGAATTACAACGCTGAGACTGGAGAACTAACAGACGGACAAAGACTTTAAATTCATATTTATTATTATTAAATCAACCGTTTACTGTCTATCGCTAAACAAATGTCTCCCCTATAAGGGGAAGTTTTCCAGTAGTTGCTACGCTTGGCAGGCGGGTTAGCAACCGCAGTTAGGTTTTAGTGATGTCTGCTGTCCTTTCCTCGACCAATAAGTTCCTTTAATTACCTATGATTCAACCTACGAGAAAGGAAGGGGTGGGTCATTCTATGCTAGAGCTACACGGTATTATTTTATTTTGTATATGGAACCTCAAGAAATGTATCTGCTAGATGGCGTCAGGGAGTAAAACAATATATTCTGGATGTTATATACTAGCCACCTGTTCTCTATTCATAGTTTAACTTCATAAACAAACATCAGTTTGTTTATCGTTTTTAGAACGTTTTTTGTCCTTCAACGCTGCATCTAAATACTCATATAATCTGTTAACTCTACTTACAATTTTAAAGCTTTCACAAATCGATATCTTTGAAAATACTAGCTTGGACAGACTATTTGTTTTTTTTTTTATTTTTTTTATTTTAGAGAGTATAATAGTTTAATGAAACAATAAGACATAACGCCATCTAGTAGTTTTTGATAATATCGTTTGATATTTGTGATTTTATGTCGCCATCTAGACATTTTCTGAGGAACTACAAGTTTAAATTAAAATTAGCGCAATAAGCACATAGGTAGCAACTACATACAGAATTAATTACTTCTAATTGAAATTTGGTAATGATTTATTCCAAAATCAAGTTTCAAACTTTGTAATCATTTCTACAAAAAGTATTATTAGTAAATTTTATTTCATACCATGTTCTACTGTCATATTTTATAAACAAGTACATTTTTAAATATATCTTACAAATTAGAAAATGAACAGGTACGTATTTAATTTAGGTACTTACTTATTAAAAGCGAAAAATTAAAGCTACATATTAAATCGAGAGTATTTTAATTCATCTATCTGTTTAGGTTTATACTTAAATCCTCCATTTGACATGTACTTAAAATGGTATCAGAAAGTAGATCCCGACTAAAATGTTGATAATGACTCATTACGATTATATAGGAAATATAATATTATATATATGATAATAATAATTGATCATTTATATGAATAGGATAATAACAAATTAAACCATATGTTAATACTACTGCCCAGGTATTATTTATTATACATTATATTTACAGTTATAATGTTAGACTAAAGACTAACCTTCCGTGTATGGTATAAGTTAAAAAAAATTGTAATTAGCTATAATCTAATAAAATTATATACATATGTATATAAGCATTAAAGAGAATTCATAAAAATATATTATATAATTTTTTATTATTGTAACCGAAGCCTTACAAAATCAATATACTACCTATTCTAAATAATTTGATACTGGGAACACAGATGGCGTTAATGTCTGATGGCCTAGAAAATACAGGCGCATAGATAAAGCTGTGTGCCAATAACTGTAGAGATGTACGTGTTTATTGAATTTCATGAGAATGTTGAAACATAGATGTGAATGTGTGCGTAGTGCGCAAAGTAGCTGTCAAAACCATTTGAACTGTAGGGAAGCGAGTGCGAATTTCCTGAAAATGTTATTAAAAAAATAATTCGTTAGGCTAGAGTTATGTATGCCCATACGAAATCGTATGAAGATATATTATCTTGTTGTATAACAAGTAGTACTTACGTTTACAACAGACACCATGGTTCAGTGTCATCCGCCGTTGGAATTAGAGGAATTGCCAAAAGAAGACGAAGAAAGATTAGAAAAATTGTTTTCTAAATTAGACAACGATGGAAATGGCAAGATTGACATCCATGATCTGTCCGTCGCACTCAAGGAGCTGGCTCCTCACATTAATCGAAGCTATGCAGAGGTTAGAATTCCTTTCGTAATTGCCTAAATGTAACGGTGGTTTCACCCGATATTTGAAGCGTTACCATCAGCATGTGCTGCTGGTGTGTACATTTACCTAAATTTTAATTTGTAATATCTCTTGTTCACTAAACATTTTAGATTTTAAAATCGCACTTAATATAACGTGTGCCTAACTAATAAATATCTATTAAAAATCGGAATTAATTGCCTCGATTATTTTGTATATATTTAATATAATAAAAAATGTAATAAAGATAGGTTTTCTTTTACTATGGGTTCCACTTCTTGATTTCCTTTTGCAATGTATTAAACTGAAATTTGTCATTAATAAAAATAACTAAAGTAGTGTCTCATTTGTTAGTCTATAATCTATAATTTAAATCTTAACATTACATGAAAGAAGAGAATAAGAAATCCATTTAAAATAATGTACAGTCACATTTTATAAGCTTTTTAGTTCTTAGAATGTGTTTCATTCATTTAAAAATAATAATGTAATGAAATTAAGTAATCTAATTTTTATATCTAAATATTAATAGTTAATGTAGTGAAGAGGGGATTTGTTAGGACAAATAATCCCAATGCCAGAAAATACTCTATTGGGTTAACATTCATGCTGTCCCCCTGAAAACGATTGTAATAACTTATTACCGAACTTGCCATGACAGGCTAAGTGACTTGATTTCGTTCTTACTTATTATCACTGGTACATTCACATCGGCAGGTTATACAAGACCAATTGTATTAAAATTGTGTACAGGGTTTTGAAGCCTACTGGTATATCACCACAATGTGTGAACATAATTCTTTTGTCCTCTCCAACATTGGTATATTTAAGACTTTGTCACTGTCAGTCTGGCTCTTTATAAAGGTGTATATTATATACTTTCAGATATGCAATCAAAAGCTCTACTCATATACAGGTTGGGCACGACCCATTCTGTCCCTACCCATCTTAAATATGCCTATGCTTTCCAAATAGATTCTTTCAAATATAATTGACTGTTATAATCACAAGTTATCAGTATTTTTTCCAATACAGTAGACTATATTTTTGTTTAACAGTAGATTTTCATACTTAGCGTCTCAAATAGGCCATTATTGTTTATGTAGACACCATCACTACTTTATAACTATATGATTACTCCAATCAACCTAATTGTAGATTATTATAAGAGTCCAGCATATGGTTTATATTGTTACATACCTTCGAAACAGGATCTGGTGTCTATATCTACAATAGTTGATGTACTGTTCACCTACATCTTATCAATACTTGAGATATGTTATTTCTGTCCTCATTTAGTCACTAAATAGCGGATTTTTTATTAACCCAAATGCCTGTTTATTGAAGTGCCAAGTCAAAATAGTTTCCTCATATTAGGCTGTATTTAGGTATTCTATGTGCAATGTGATTTAGCTGTCAAAATATGCTTCAGTAACAAATAATGAAGTATTTCTAAAATCTTACAGTTTAATGTAAGATTGTTTCTATTAATATTAATAAAAATTAATAGAAAGTAGCTGATTTACAGACTAAACACTTATGTTCGAGTATCAATATTTAATTTTTCTAAATATATATCTTTTATTTACATTTTTAAGTACTTATTTATAATTTTACAAGTTTCTAATCTATATTTAATAATTAATTTTTAAAAATGTCTTCACTGATATTCAAAATTTATTTATTTTAAACAACTTTTTTTTAACTTGATAGCATGATATGACTGTGCATGTGCATGTTACAGCATAGATTACAGTTAATCAGAATACACTGTGACACCCATATTACCTATTTAAGATAAAGGACATAGCAAAATTATTAATTGAATAAAACAAGAAATAAGGCTTCTTAAGATAGGGTAGCATTTCCCGTGAATCACCTTGGCAAGGCACTGAATTAATTAGAGAAAGCATTAAACATTATTGTGTGGGGAAACCTCCTATAGAATGAAGGGTGAGGTATTTTCGTACATTTATTATGATTGTGAATGAATGTTTTAGTATGTATGACTTTTATCTAAATCTAAACTAATTTTATAAGGAGAAAAGATTTAACTTTTGTTTATAATGGTTTTCAAGAACTTCTGAATTGGTTTTAATTAACATTTCTCCTATAAAAGCTACATTATCAGCAAGTAACATAGACTGTTTGATTTTATTATTAATTGGTATTGATTGATTATTTTTCAAGAAACGCGTGTAAAACCGACGCAAGTCACTAGTAGCAAATAAAGTAACGGATTGATTTTAACGGAAGCGTTAAAGAATTTATAGACATTGTTATATGTTTGAATTTTTTTTTTAATAAAAAGAGCTGAAATAGTAATAATAATAATCCTACCATATCTGGCGGTAGCGTTCTTGTAATCGAGCAATTTAACCCAAGGAACATGGTAGAAATTAAAAAAATAACACCAGCGTCATTTCATGTGTTCAATGAAAATTTTGGAATGTTGAAATGTTTTAAGATTTCTAAATTTCGATCTATATCCATTCTGAGAAAGTTCAGTTTGGAATACAGCCTCTTAATTTCGACTCTCTCCTTTTCTGTTATACGTACTCGTGTATTCAGTGCCAGATGTTATAGTTCACCTTCTAGGCGGTTCGGTTTTTATTTCATTTTTATTGATCGCTAGTTGAAATTTACACGTGGCTTAACCAGTTTTAACATTACGTCTCTATTACTGACCATGGTAATTAGTTTTTTTTTTTTTATCTGCTAAAATAATTTCCTGTACGCTCGTAGTATAATATTTTTGTGTATAAATAGACTGAGACATCATTACGTCACATCTGCACCATTACTCGTTTGTACATCAATTTGTAATATAATGTACTTAGTTTCTACTCGAAAATAAGTTTTTATTGTGGATCTGTCTGCTTCTTTAAGCAGTCGTACTTTGATATCAGAGATATCTAATATCTAGTTGATAAATTCATAATGTTATGGCATTGTAGTTTCGTAATTCGACAAAATTACTTTTTAGGCATATAATATAAATATAAGTGACATTATATTTATATATAATAAAGAAGAAAAATGAACTATATTATAAACTAAAATTATAAGAAAGAAAGATTTATTTGTTTGTTTGTAATGGATAAACTGAAAAACTGCTCAATCAATTTTTCATCATTTTTTTCACCTACAGACAGCTTCATTATCAGTCAATAATATATATTATATATAATTTTCGAAACGGACGTACGTCGACCAAATAGGCGACGTGCTGAAAAAGGGCCAAATTAAAAGTGCCCGTAACCAGCGAGCATGTATGAATAGATCGATGAATGTGAAGGAAGCGAAAGAGGTATGTTTGAATGGAAGCATTTGGCGTTCTATTGTTTTTGTCTACCCTAATGGGAGGAGTGACAGATATGTATGTACAATGTACAGTTTAGTAGGTTATATAGTTAGGTATCTTAACAATACTTATAATAATCTACTACTTTTGACATACATTACCTTTACAATATTTATAATATGAATATTTACTGCACTGCTCATGCTTTGACCTACAATAACAATTTTTTCATTTTTATTTAAATGTATGTACTGTGTGGAAGTCTAGATCTTTTGTATGTCTATAGTTGGGATGCATTAATTTCAGCTAGAACGGTTTACTTACTTTCATTATATGCTCTGTTACATTTACATTACAATGTACGAACTACTCAATTAATATTTCCTGCATCAATGGGTTCGCTTACTGGAAACAGTGTACAGTTACCGGGTGATTCTATGTGACTAGTTTATGCAAGTGATTTCGTGATGTACATACTAAGAGCTCGGTCACTTTTTCATTTGTCATTTTATCGACGAGATATACGAAAGGGTCTGCGCAAACGAGGGTCTGGTTTGGGGACGATAAATTTTTCGTATAAAGCGTCTATTGCGGATATGTCATAGGTCATACTCTTTTTTAAATTTGAATAGACAAAAAATAAGTTTTGGATTGAACTGCTATCTTTAATTTATGTCTAGCATAGTTCCAAGTCTGCATTAATCCTAAGTGTACATTGTTGTAGAATTAATGGAGTGCATTCATTATATATTTAGTTCTTAATGACGATATCTGTGTTGACGGGTAACGGGTAGGGAACTCAATACCGAATCCAAGGTCTATTTTTTTATAATTATGATTCTACGTTCAAAAAAAATTAAGTGCCTATTATTATTTATTATATATGGGTTTTTAAAATAGTTGTCGCCATACACGTATTATAATAATATACTGACATCTTTATCTAAGGTTGTCACTTGTTACGTAAATGGTAGATATGATTTTCAGTGGCTAGTTAACAAATATTTGTCCAGATTATACAAATATTTGTTCAAATTATAATACGCATGTATCTTGGTCTATACATATATTATTTTCATATATTTGTTTTGGATTTTTATTGTCACATATACATGTGTGCGAGTTTCGAGGCATTTTTAATGTCTGAGCCAGAATTAGACAGCGGCTGGTCAACAGGACGGTGGCACGATCTTGTACTTAATTTAGAGCAAGTTGATTTTAACACTAAGCTTGTCTTGTCTGCGCTTGCACTGTCTACAAAATAATATTAGTACCTACATTTTAACGGGAAAATACTTTGTTACACATATTTTTAAAATGATTCTAAATAATTACATTTTACCTGCATGATCGCACTCATACTAACGCATTCCATTTTTTTTTTATTTTTATAAAACTATTATGTTTGATATTACTATTATGTTATGGATAAAATAAGAAATACCTAAAATAAATAACTTGCTTTAAATACTATTTACTCAGGTATATTTTATTAATTTGTTCAAATTAATCGCGGCAGTGTTGTTGACAAAACAGTCTGCTTTACAAGTCTTGGCATGTCTTTTTATCCATGTTTATTAGACATAATTTTCAGTAATAAAAACCTTTTTTTATTCTAGCAATTTAATTGTTTATGGGTACTATTATTTTTATGATATAAAATTAGTACGAATAAACTAATCATTGACATTTGTGAGTATTAAATTTTAGAAATTATTAGTTAAAATAGCTCAGTAATAGTGCGATTGTACCAAGCGTAGTGTACTGTACTGTAGTAAAGTTTAAAAACTCATTGATAGTAAACAACTCGTTTACTGAGTCAACTTTTAATACAGGCAACAAGGGCGTGCCGATCTTTGCTTCCTAAATAGGATCACGGTCTATTATACCGTACATGACTCATACATGATATTTGTACTGTCAAATTCAATAACATATTCATTGCTTTGAAATTTAAATTTAGTTTAGTGGAATCATTATGTTTTGTTTTATTCGACTGGCATTCATGTTGATATCTCACTTTTTACTGATAATAAAATTTTAACTAGACGATGTTTGTACATAGGGGATATTTAAGAAAAAAATATACGAGGTGCCTTAATAAGAGTAATAGAAATCGTAATAATAATTTTTATAATATCCATCTGTATGTTCCAGTAAGACGCAAAAACTACGCCACAAATTTGAATGTGGTTTGCACAGTTGTATTACTGAATGTGTAACTTGTATGATTTATGTTGATACATCATGTAGACGTGATTCTTTATTGTTGCTTTCCTACTTCCAAAATACACATATATGAGTTTTATTATTTTGTATAAAATATTTTAAAAAAATCAACGATCTTAGTTTTGCAGTGATATAGACAAGTGTAGGCGATCAAATAGTTTCAATCCATTCCAATCCAATTACATTTATTGTGATTTAATTATTGAAAATATATATTTGCCAACATAAAAAGTAGCCTATACCTCTCAGAGATAATATACCTTTCTAAAAGTGAAAGATTTTTCAATATTGGATCAGTAGTATCGGAGATTACCGCGAACATCCAAACTCATAAACTTTACGTTTTTCTGATATTAGTACAGATTGCCAAAACTTGGCACCATCGGTAGTGCAGGCACTACTAAATTTCATACTTAACCGTACATTTGTACGTTTAAAAGCGCTCTTACCAACATTTGGCAATGACTTTTTTAGTTTATTAGTATCCGTTAAAGATGGATGATAAAAAGAATCCTGCAGTGAACCAATTTTTACCCATTGAAGATAGATTATGAAAGTATACTATACAATGATATAATATTAATAATAATAAGTTTATTTTCTCTTCACAATTCATCACAGTGAAATACATTGAGACATTCTTATAATCGAATTATAAATATAATTGTGAGACAATAAAGCAATGACTAAAATATATTTTTTTTATACAACTTAAAATGGCAAACAATCTGCCGGCCCACCTTGTGGTAAGTGGTAATCGTTGCCTATAGACATAAGCAGTACCATGGACATAACAGAGTATACTGTTTCGCCCGTGATACCCCCCATGCGTTGCCATTCTTGAGGATTCAGGTATTATTTCTCCGTACCCAGTAAATTCACGCCCTATCCCATCCTTCAAACTGAAACACAGCCATGCAAACAACACAACTGCTTTACGGTTGAAACACGAATGGGACAGAGCTATCCAAGCAATCGACTTTTGTATAGTCTCCCTTTGGTAAAATATACGAAACTAGCGCCCCGGCTTCATACGGTTAGCCCATATTACTCACTGCTTTCTATAAGTCAGTGAATGTTAGTTATGTTGGTTGACAATATATATTTTTTGAGTTAATACATTATAAACAATAAATTAAAGATACGTCATGCATAAAAAACCATCTCAATTGTGACAAAATCAATTATTTTGTTCTAAAATTTTATCTAAATTTTGTCTAAACTACCAATCACTATTTTGTAATTATACATACATACATATATAAGGACCAATCTGTAAGTCGGTCCTTATATACGTATGTATAATCCTCCTAAAATAATGTTTCTGTTATTAATTTTGTTTGTACGTACTTTACACATAATTTGTTATTACACATTTCAGTATTTTATTTATTTGAATTTATGTAGTGCTCTCTCTCTTTAACAAATTGGTACACTGAAAATCAGCGTCATGTTCAAAACAATATGGCATATACCTGAGTGACAACATTTTAGTGCTTTTCTTTTTATTTTATTGTTAAATATTTTTGTAATTAAGTGTTTAATTAAGCACTAAATACATATTTCTTTTTTTTTTTTTCTTAGTATATCCTTTCAGATAAAAACAGAAATCGATTTACAACGAACAAAATTATTAGGAAATAGACACAAAAAAAAAAACAATCAAATTTAGAATTTCCTACTTTTTGAAATCAGTTGAAAAATCTTTCCTCTTCTCTTTAATAAAATTACTTTAAATAAATAAATATACACAATAGTGCACTTGATTCGTCGTTAGAGTTGTACAGTATGCGAGATAATAGAAAAAGTAAGGCTTCACTTATGTGATAGCATGGTCAAGGCCACAGAGGCATTATGTATATGTACTGAATAATATCTTATTGGTTAAGGCTGAAGTAAAAGTTGCAACGGCCATGGTTATCATTGTAGGTTTTTTTTATTAACATTCAAAGTGTATGTTCGTATTTCATTTTTGAGTAGACGTTTCTTGCAATGGCCTTGAAAATATTATCCTGTACAAATTGATTACGCTAACAATCATAAAAGGACTTTAAACAGCAGACACAGCTAAACTTATATCGTGAACTGCTTAATAACGGTCCTAATTTTTTTACTACACCGCATTTTATGGACACTGCAAACTAAACAAGAACATGGCCCGACTAGGCTCATGCCCAAAAAGTGCAAAATTCGTCACAGGTAGGAGGAAACGCTGCAGCACTTTATTTGTGGCTGTATCCCACTCATACATAAACGGTATATCTCCTTTGGAAAATACACTTTGCAGACTGAAGAGATAAAAAAACACCGCTACTAAAAACATCTTAAAATTCCTATCACTGATAGGAATAGCGAAGTATAAAAAAGGGCGAACACAAAAGATCAAGGAAAGGTCACAGTGTCTCAGGTTTTTTTTTTCTGGCTGAAAAAGCACACCACCATCACACACCATATTCTAAACATCATAATTGGAATCATAACTTTAATAACTTTGATTATAGTGTGCTTTATATGTGTATATGAGTTTTCATAGCATATTAATCGCTTCAACGCTCCTTAATTTCGTCTGAGCTGTTTACTGCCTCCCTGTGAATCTTAAGCGTTCACAAAGAGGCGTTATGCCCCATTTTGAGAAACATTGCCCTAAAGTAACCTCTGGCAAACATAACTCACACAGTCGCACACATTATTAATATGAATTTTAAAAGTCTCTTAATAATATCTTATTTTCGACTAACTTCAAAATGAAGCAGGTTCTTGATTCGGTCGTATTTTTATTTTTTTTATTTTTGTTACCTTATTTTGTGCTTTCACATAAATATTATTTCAGATTGGTTCAAAAGAAACATTATCAAAATTGATTAAGTACTTTAATTTTTAAATCAAAATAACTGGTTTTGACATATTTGAAATCAGTATTTTTTTTGTGGAGCAAAATTTTTAATTACCTTCCATTCTTCCCCCTTATAGTTTAGTAGCACAAAGAGATTTTAGACAGGTCAGACACTTTGACTAAATTTATTCCAAAATATTATATTAAATTTTTCTCTCTTTTTGTATAAAAATTCATATGTTTCACCATTATTGTGGAACGGAAGTTGCGAAACGTGTCGTGTAGGGTCTTTGAAATTTTATTCTCAGAAAGTAGTCTCAGACAGGCAGATTTATTTTTGAGCTTGCATTTAAATTATGTCGTGAATTAAATACAAGCTCAAAAATAAATTTGCGTCACTTTGTACGCGTGGGCTTTGGAAGTAGGTAACCACTTCTAGATGGTGTATTAAGATAAAGTGCACATTGTTTTTTTTTTTAGACTTAACTTAGTCCTTTAGGAACACAACTGTAGAAACAGCATTCAATTTGGTGTAGTAGTTTTTGCATGGTATCGGAACAAACATAGAAAGGCAATTATCGATTTTTTTATAAATAAGACTAATAAAAACTATAGCAATTGTTTCTATTGCTCCTATTAAGACCGGTCATATATTTTTTTTATTAATATCTCTTGTATACAGACATCGTCCAGTTACAATTATTATATCAGTAAGATGCAAATGGTAAATATTCCAGAAATTCTTGGCGAAATCCGGTGGGAAAGATGCCGGTGACATCACATTATCCGAGTTTATACATTACGTGCGGGAACACGAGAAGAATCTCAGACTGCAGTTTTCGCATTTGGACAAGAACAAAGATGGTGAGTGCATTCCCCAAATCCATCATTACCAACGCAACTTCAAAATCATGTTTGAATTTAAAACCAAATGTATATTGTCACTCGCTTCCTTCTTTGGAGGGCACGTAGAGTCGTCACCTGGTAAGCCACAAAGACTTTCATATATAACGAAGGTGACCTAGGAACTCTTGACTTCAGAAGACAATATCCTCAAATGAATAGTAGTAGTAGTCACAACCTAAGAGTCTTTTGATTTGTACTCTGAAAGGTACATGAAGAGTAGTCACGACTTAAGAGCTCGTTGGTTTGTGCTTTAGAAGATTGATCAAAGCCTAAGAGTTTTTTGCTTTGTGCTCTAAAAGGTGCATGAAGAGTATTCACAATCTTGGAGTCCTTTGCTTTATGCTCCGAAAAATGTGTAAAGAGTAATTAAAACCTAAGAGTTCTATGTGCTCTAAAAGGTACGTGAAGAGTAATCAAAATCTAAGAGTCCTTTGCTTTGTGCTCTAAAAAGTATGTGAAGAGTAGTCACAACCTAAAAGTTCTTTGATTTATGCTCTGAAAGGTACGTGAGAAATATTCACAGCCAATGAGTCCTTTGCTTTTTGCTCTGAAAGGTGCGTGAAGAGTAGTAACAACTTAAGTATATCTTTTATTTTGTCTTGAAAGGTGCGTGAACAATAGTCACAGCCTAAGAATCCTATACTTTGTGCATTGAGAAGTATGTGAAGAGTAGTCACGACTTAAAGAGTCCTTTGCTTTATATTCTGAAAGGTACTCTTAAATATAGGTAGAGCAGTTGTTTGGAAAACCACGTCAAACACTTTTGTAAATACCGAAATTACATCTTCACGAAGCAGTTATAATATTATCACAACAATCCATTAACATTCCAATGCTGGATATAAAACTGTAGGACAGTATGTGACCCAGTAAATTGAATGCACGATGCGTTTTCTGAGTTGGTATATTTTTAACACACCATCGACAAAACGAGGAAAAAAAATTCGACAGCAGCGGAAAAAATAGAGTCGTACCAAAACACAAGGCATAGAGTCCAAAAAATATATGAACAAAAATATATAAAAATTATGAGCAAACTTCTCTCTCCATTAGGCAAAAATATTAGACCATTACCAAGGTGACTAGAATATATTACACTCAAAATAAAACCATATATTATGAGGTTTTATTCCGAGTTTTGCTTCTTTTGCGCTGGTTTATTACAGGATCCCGTAGTTGTATTTTATGACGTTAATCCAGTATATTGTATGGTTTATCAGTTACCAAATTTATCGATATTTACTGTTCACACGTAATTGAGTTATAACTAACATAAATTCATGTTGCTTTTTGATGGAATTCCATTATATTAATCACATAATATGAATACTTATTATTCAAAAATTTTAAAAATACATTTACTTTGTTCCATTGTATTTATTAAAAATGTATTTATTATACACTTCACTGTCTTCGTAACGTTATTCTCAGGGGCATTTATAAAAATTATAACAATTGATGCTTGACATATAGATATTTATTTAAATTTTAAATATCGCTTTTATACACACATATTTTAAATACATCATCAGGACTTAACGCGATTTTTTTACGTAACGTTGTGCAATCCACGTGTTTTGACGTGTCGGTAATAAAGAAGCAGCTATGGAGGTACTATTTACTTGCAAAAATAATTTTTATCGCGTTTAGTCCCGATAGTGTATTTAAAATGAATCTCTTATGATATCTCCGTTTGACTTCCACAAATTCTGAATCCATAGAGGAACATGCAAAACATTTTAACATTCACATATCTTTATAAGTTTTCATTGTCTTACAATATAATTATTGTTTCTTTTAAAATGTCTATTACAGGAAAAGTTGATCTGGAAGAACTTATATCGGCGTTTGCCGATTTGGGCATTGCGATCGGAAGGAACGAGGCGACTAATTTATTAAAAAGGTATTCGTCATTAATTATTACCTACTATTTTACTGCTGAAGCGAATGAAAAAAATATTGGCTATGGCATTGGCAATAGAGCAAATTTTGAAAAGCGAATTGGTTTTTTTTCTTATTATTTTTTTGTTGTGTTTCTATCATGCATTATGTTGTTATTTGTCTCTGACTCCCCTGGGTTCCCATTGATACATTATAATCTTAATTATTCCTTTGATAACATAGATTAAGGTTAGTACCTGTGGTTCACATTTGATAAGCTAGCAATCAATCAAGTGAACTGCGCTGGTGTCTTTTGCTTATTTATCGCATATTGATAAAGGCGTTTTACTATGCTTTAAAATTTGCAGACATTTCTATATCTTATCGCAATGATATATTCTACTTTTAAGTTTGTTCTTGAACGGTTTATTTATTGTCAATACGCGGATTTTTCCGTACAAATTCACAGTTCTTGAAACTCTTACTTATATCTGTTTCATAAAGTCTATTCGGTCGCTCAACTCTTAGTAATATAATTTTGACTACTTGATTTACTTATTATTGCTTATTGCTTGAAGTAAACCCAATAATTACGTTATGGTCAGACGAACGAAGTCGTGGGCATAGCTGGTAGTTAATATGTACTTACAATTTAATCCCCGCCATACCTTTAAATGGGTCCAAAATATCGAGAACAACGCTGCTAATCGAAATAAAAACTATATCTGAAAGTTAGAGCAAACAATACACATTTACTAAATTTCATTAAAATTGGTCGAGCGAACAACGCTCAACGAACAGTGTGACACGAGGATTTTATATATTGAGGTATTTACTTAGATGTAAGGAATAAATTAATTGTGCAATCATGTGTAACAATCGATTAACATTTAACTTTTAACACTTTTTTGTTATAGTACAAGGTATTATTGTTAAGTTTAAAGATTTTTAAATTGTCTTCTACAAATAATGCGTTTTAAGTTCCAAAAATGCAATCTGTTTATTGACCCGTATGCCTGATTATGCTTTAAAAGATATATACATATAAACTGACATCATCTTACTAATAAAATTGTAGGTAGGATATATCTGTACATGGGAGATATTAAGGAAAAATTCTTACTATTTTGGCATCTGGTCTTATTAACACCGATAAATAACAAAACAGTCTGTCTGTTTGTTTTGGCAGCATGCAAAAACTACTGCACCAAAATGAATGTGCTTTTCATATTTATATTCTTGAAGATTTACCTTAAACATTGGCGTATGTTTCATCTTGATACATTATCTAGAAATGATCTATTTAATTGGTTCTCTTCTGATATCCAGACGTAACAGATAGTGGCCAAAAAATAATAATAAATTGTATTAATGTTATAACTAAAGATTTAATATACTCGAAATATGCAAAACGATATTCTCAATCTAATGTTCTAAATATAAAGGTAACTGTACCTCTCCGCTTAGCATTTAATGGTAGGTATTTAAATTTAACTAAAGACATATAAGGACGATGGAATGTGACTTGTTAAGTCGCCGGCGAAAGTCAGTAAGAATTTTATTCAAAATTGGTTAAAACGCGACATAGATACTATACGTTGTGTTAATTGTAAATTATTTGAACAACTGTTTTCTTATTATCAATTTAATATATACGGATATAGTTTCGTTATTGTAAAATCCGTTATCATTGCATTAAAACCTAATTGATTCCGTGGCAAAGTAATTACTTTGAATTTTAAATTTATTGAGAAATGTAAATGTTTTAAATTGAGAATTTTAAATGTTTATGAATCCGGGATATATAGAAATCTCGGAATTGCAGAATATTTTCTTATAGATTTATAAGGGGAAATAATAAAACTAAAAAATGGAATATAATGTTCCATTAATGTTTAAATTATTGCATATTTTGACAATTATTTATTTATTAATAAATTTTAGTTTGTATAATTAGTAATAATAGGAAAAAACTAATGATGTAAATATGCACCATCTCGTTTGAGTAGGATAAGTGTAGATTTTTTGAGTGTGTAGTAAAGAGAAATATAATTATTTTATTAAAGTCTATTGTGTCTATTATATCTAATGTGTATTGTTTACTTCAACTTGATGGAATAGTTTTTAATCAGATAAGAAAAAATAGGTCTGATAAAGCAAACAGCAATTGCTGTGTCAACCAGTAAATTATATTTCTTTTCATTAGAGGAATAGCTTTGGTCAAGAGCCATAGTAAAGGGCTGCGTCTCGAGTTTTACTTGTCTCCCATTTGTGTGTTGTTTCGTTGACTTAATCGCATTTCATGGCATTTTGCATCATTTTGGATGATGATAGTCCCTCATTACAAGACCATCTCTATAAGGCCCTTACAAATAAAAAAAAGCAACTCCAGGGAATTTAGATAACATATTGTCTAGCGATTGGATAGACATCTTCTAAGTAAGGTTTTTTTTTTTATAAACTATAATGGAATAACCTCACTTGCTCTATCGATAATTCCTGGCGGGGCATCAGTGTAGAATGATAGATGAGAATGAATTAAGGTCAGTTGGCGTATTGTGATGAATAATTAAGAATCAATCACGATGGTTTTCAGGTAGAGCCACGTGGAGATCGACTTGACAGAGTATAGCTAGCAATGATGTCAATAGGAAATCTATTATTAACAATCTCTTCTCCCTCCTAAGTAAGGGAATATCTATGAAATCCCATAACATTACTTTTTAGAACTGCCTACTAACAAATTCCTTTAAGAGAAATTAGGTATATATAAAAATCTCGAGTCATGGTGTTTGTAGTCGCACTCCTCCGAAATGGCTCTACCGATTTTTATAAAAAAAAAATATGTATATTTGGTAGGTATGAGAATAAGTTGTAAAGTTTCACATGCCGCTATATGATCAAGATTCCCATATCCTTAATTTTTATGACAGATCCGCGTTTGCCGTGTTTGTTAGTTCTTTATAAATATTAACATTCTATTATTTGACGCAACAGTCAATGTTCTGTCGAAATTCAGCACAGTAACATACTACAGTGTTGAATTTTTATTTATATACTTTATCAAAATGATATATTCATTTCTCTATTTTATGTGTATATTCATTCATTTTAAAATGTTGCGATTACTTGCTCTTTCAGTCACTATTGTTATTTATTGTTTTACTTAAAACATGATCTTCACTTCATTCATGTCTTTATTTTTCGAATTGGTCGATATTTTGTAAAAAAAAAAAAAACTAATCGAACACGTTTGAAGAGACTGTTCTCACGTTGTTGACATCGATCAATTTCCTCCACAGCGGCAAATACCATCATTAATTATGAGGTCACATCTTCACTTATCGGAATGATATCGTTTCAGTATAATGCTTCCAGACGAAACCAATCATTTATTTATTTATGTATAAGACAAAACATACATAAACACGTTCAAGGACAGTGTAATAGTTAAGGTTATTATTATTGTATTTTTTTTTAATGGATGATAATGGAATGGTAATGGAATGCCTGTGCTAACGGTATACGCTGGCGAGGCACCAGTAATAGATGAGAATGAAAAAAGCATGTCAGTTAGCCCATCGTGATGAATATATTTGGAATTCAGCACGATGGTTTCCAGAGGAGACCACGGGGAGGTTGACCTAGTTGGGTATATTGCTGGGAAGAGGGACCCTTAGCCTCCATTACTAGCAATCTCGTCCTCTCAATATTAACGATTCATATAAGATGCATATATCGATTATAAGTATGCGCTATGAATATCTATTCTAATATAATTAAACGCAAATGTTGCACCATTCTCTGGAACTACCAGTCGCGTTAGGAAAATTCTTTACATGCATTTTTAACTCCCGTGTGGTCCCGGCATAGAATGGGCCCTCCTTTTCTTTCCCGTGGGTGTCATAAGAGGTGCCTAAGAGAACTTATGGTGATATTATGAGAGGAATGGGCAGCAGCGTCTCTCTTAAAACATCTCCAAAGCCTAACTGTGGTTGCCAAACCGCCTGCAAAGCATGGTAACTACTGGCGAAACTCCCCTAAGGTGAGGCTTAGCAGTGGACAGTTAAAAGCTGATATGATGATGATGATAATGATTTGATAACTCTTTTCTGAAGGAAGTTTATAGGCTATTCAAAATCATGACATGGTCGCGGGCGAAGCCACGGGATAATGTTGTAAACAAAGCTACTTGCTCGAGCATGCGTATATGTTAAGTAAATAATGTAATAGACAGATTGTTTCATTTGCTCTTTTGATACAATTAATTGTTATATTAATATTTATGTATTTATTTATGTATGTACTTATTTATTTAATATATTTTGTATATGTTTATATTAGTCTAATTATATATTAAGTATTACATTTCAAATTTTTTCAATTCAATATTGCACCGCCTACTTATGTATTTCTCGATTAGCCCAATAGTTGACTGGTAGAGAACACCGTCCGGTGTTAAGTCTGCTATATGTACATAATTTCAATGTGCATTAAAGTTTAAATAAATAAAAAATAATACACTACCTACAAAACAAATTATTTAATTTTATAGTATATTAAATTTATTTATTTTTTATATAATATATTTTAATTTATTTATAGTGTTTAATTTTATTTTACGAATATACATAAATATGAGTATATACAGTAATTAGATTTATCAATTAATATAAATTAATTACTATAGATACTATATTTATGCTACTGGAAAAATAACAAATTAATATATTTTATTGCGTACATGAGACGAGAATACGACGTTCGGCATCTTGCTCTATCTCATGCGTGTATTAACGAAAACGTATTTACCGATAATCTTTTGCCTCTTTTCTAGAGGAATTGATTTGTTTGATACTCTATGGTTTTACATTTTTCATATTTTCCCCATATGAAATGATAATTTCATAGATATATATAGAGCTAACATTATTCTCAATGCATGTTCTAACACATGTGGTTGTTTAAATGTTATTTTCATATATAATTTAAAAAATAAACTAACAAATATAATACATATAATAGTGGCTTTGTCTGAGTGAATTAATCTGTTTATTTATAATCTATAAAGTTTTAAGAGAGAATTTACTCTATCTGTCTTTTAATTTATTATTTTTACTTTATTACTACTTACAATTTAATACAAATTCGTCTAGTCCTTTGAGCGTGTTTAACAAACGTAATCCTAAACTAATATTTGCAACGCAGCCTGCCTTACTGACAATATAGTATTTAAAGTGGTATCACTGCAATGTTTCAGAAAAGCAGTGTGGCCAAATTTCTGGTGGTAAGTCGAGAGAAGTCAGCTGTAACGGCATAATATATCAATCACATAGTAGCTGGCTTCGACGCTAATACATGAGCTAAGATTTGTACGTAGCAATGTGGAGCGATGATCGTATGCGAACATGTTTGTCACTGTATTTAACAAAACGATAAATACTATTGATTCTCGTTGTGTTGTTACCACACATTTAGCTTAGTTGTACATCATTAACAAGCCTTCATATACATGTCAGTTTATCCGTTGTAGATATATCGTTAAGGTAACACAAAGGATCTATGAAATGACGGTATAAGGCAGGGGGAAGCACAAAAGATCCCAATTGGTCGACGTGCAACAGCCTAGCTGACCCCATATGCGAATATAAGATAAGATCCGTTGTAGATACCTCTGTCCCAATATTGTTTCTGCTGCAAAGCATTCTGTTTGTAACGCTGTAAAATTTGAAAGGTGGAAAATGATTGTGAAATTACAAAGTATCAAGACATTCTGTGATTTGTTTTACCATTTTTGTCTGTAGGCGACGATTACCACTTGTCATTAGTAATGGATGATCATGAAATGGTAACCCCATCTGCGCTTTCAGTATACGCTGGCAGGGCACCAGTGAGGGATAGGTGAGGATGAAAACTAATAATCAGTTACCTCACAGTCATGGAATACATAAAAAAATTACCACGATTGTTTTCAGGCGTAACTGCGCGGAGATTGACTTGACAGGGTATATTGATAGCAATGGGGCCGCTAGTCCCCATTAATAACAATCCTTTTCCTCTGTTTATAATTACTCTTCTCCATCCAAATGTTGCCTGGAAGAGATCGCTCTTCACGATAAGGTCGCCCATTGTTTTTTTAGTTTAATCTCTTCTTGTAATTGTTTGTATTTATAATAAGTTTACAATTGTTATCTTATGGAGGAAACAATAAAGAACATCTACCTATCTGTCCCCTTACCACTTGTCATTAGGTAATTCATCGGCTTGTTTGCCATTGTAAATAGCAAAAAATTGGGCTTAAAATTAAAAACAAGAGGGACTGTCGAAATTTTGTACTTTTTTAATACGGCCAAGAGATGCCGTGTTAGAAAATTAAGATATTTTGGAATTTTTTTCAAATTTGATATAATACGAGTATTGTATTATATGTAAGTTGATTGTACTGACGTGCTTATGTTCGGCTTCATACAGACACCATGTATAAATTTTTCCATCAAAAACGATCATTGCTTACCTGTTTAATTAGCTATGTACAACGCATCATTGGCGAAAGTAGATTTCGTATTATAAATAATAAAAGAAACATCCATTTTGCGTGTGCTCTTCATACCTGTTTGTTGCGAAATCGTTTCGTCTCGCTCACACTTAGGAGTTTGTTCCCAGGATGGACCAAGATGGCAGTCTAAATATAAGCTACGACGAATGGCGGGACTACCTCTTGCTGGCGCCGGCGACCGACATCCATGCCCTCATACATTTCTGGAGACATTCTACGGTAAGTAACTTACTATTGTATGCTTATTTATAAAAAAAAAAATCGTATTTGAAATACGCCATCTGCGAGTAAAAAAATAATGGTTTCTTACTATATTACTTATAGAAACAGAAACTGCGTCCGCATATTTTAAACTATAAAAAACTTTATACCCTTATAAAACCTCGAAGGTCTTATAAACCTACTTTAATCGTCTGGGTAAAGAACGATCTGTTGTTCGGTATTTCCCGGGTCATAAAAACTTTCCGAGAGTGTAAAGACTATAAGATAAAAAAATATATTCAATTATAATTATCGATAAATTATTAATTTATTATTAGACAGACAGTATGTAATAAATTGTTAAAATTTATTTAAACTTACATATTAAAGCAGAATTATTATTTACCAGAATAAAAAAACAATACTTAATAGGTTGGAAAATGATATTATTGTTGTACTATAAAATACTTTAGCAGCACCGGTATTAAATTGTTTCTTTAATTAAAAAACAAATTAAAATTTCCTAATAAATAAAACGATTTATAAAAACAAACTTACCTAATTGTCTGGAAATTTTGTCTATTGTTGAAAACACATTTATTATTATGAACACTATTAATGAATCATTAATTAGAATTGATTGACATTAGATTCTGAGGCACGTGTTTACACATGTCTCATTATATTTATTATATTAATGTAATTGCTTGTATGCAATTGCTTCACCCAATCATTGCGATAAGTAATCAAAGTTTTCCTACCTAATGGATCACAAAAGACTAAATACATCAAACGTTCAAAAGCTTAAGACGTCTAATTTAAATAAAACCTCTGGATGTGTTACGCAGCGCCATCTAGTCTCAAATTAAACAAGGGAACTACCATGGAATCAAATTCCGAATTTTCGGATTCATTTTCTTACACTTAATTTTCTTACAGTAAATGAAACGTAACATTTTTAAATGGTATGTAAGTATTATGTAATTTTAACATTAAATTCGTGTTTCGTTCGGCTCTGAAATTTCGGAAAACATTTCATTGTAGGCCCTCAGAGCTTGTACTACGGATAGTTGACAGTTTAATGGAAAGGCTTAATATTTTTTTGTAAATACATATTATATATAGAACATATCCACATATATCTAGTCATGTCTGTGTATTATATAGTTTGAATAGTTTTGTATGTTTGTTTTGTTACCTAAGCTACGAATGTTGTCTCTGATGTAGCAATTGTCCTTGAGCTGCGGCCGCTTTATCATTAGATGGTCATTATATAAACAAACTAAACAATAACAATTTTAAATGACAACGTTATCAATTAGCAAGTGATAAGTTTTAACAGTTCTGTACCGCAATTATATGCAATAATTGCCAAGTTCAAGACAAATAATAAAGTGGAATTATTTTTTACTAGCGATCCGACCCGGCTTCGCACGAGTAGACAGAATTTTCAAAAATCAATACACATAATAAAAAAAAAATCAGCAAATTCAACTGACTGGTTATTGTATAGCATTTTATGTGATTCTTTAAATTGAAATAACTTTTTTATTTATGAACCAGTTAAAGTAAAACAAAAACTAAATGTTAAGTGGAGCAAACCGCAACGCGTTAGTGAAAACCACATACAAATCGGTTAAACCGTTTCTGAGATTAGCGTGCACCAACGTACAGATAAACAGACAAAAATTTAAAAAAATCATCGTTTTGTATTCTATTGCGTTCATAAAGCCCTCTCTATAATAGTTTTTCTTATATATCTTCCATGTACAGATAGCGACCAATTACCATTTTATTATATGTATTGATTGATAGTGAAAGAGGTTTTTCAATTAGTCGATATTTTTGTGACTATGTTAAGCTATTCTGACTTCTCAATTTTGATAATTCATTTTGCAATGTATAAGCTTAATTCCTATGTGAATTAGACATTGGTAATATTGGTATCGCTCCAATATCTATATATTGGTTTTCTTTGGACGAATATTGGTGGCGAAAATAAAAGTCTTTTTTTATGGGTGAAAATAGTATGGTAACCTGCGCTAACGGTATACGCTAGCGGGGCACCAATGAGGCATGACTGATGAGGATGAAAGCAGGTCAGTTAGCCCATCCTGACGAATTCAACTAGAATTAGCCACGACGGTTTCCAGGGGGAACCACGTGGAGGTCGACCTGACAGGGTATATTGCTAGTAATGGGGCTATTTGATTCCATTACTAACAATCCCTTTCTCCCCCTTTAATATGGTTGAACACAACGATGGCTGATCCAGTTGTCATACTCGTGAACAGGTGCTTCTAGTCGAGATTAGTATCACTATCATAACTACAATCACAGTATGCTGTGATTCTTGTTTTTTAACAATATTAAAAAAATAAATTAGTGATAGTCTTTATTTTATCCATTCAAATTTTTTAATGTAAAATCAATTTGAAAAATAAAGCTGAGTTTTAAGCCCCTTCTTCTCAGCTGAAACTGCATTTCGAACTAGGCAGTAAATATATATTTTAAAAAATACTATATATACTATTTTAAAGTAAACTAAGTAAAAGTGCTTATAATTAAGTTTAATAAACATTCATCGTCATCATCATATCAGCCTTTAACTGTCTACTGCTGAACATAATTTTCTCCCTTGAAGGGGTTTGCCAGTAGTTGTCATGCTTGGCAGGCAGATTGGCAACCGCAGTTAGACTTTAAAAAATTCAAAATTCAAAATTCAAAAATCATTTATTCATGTAGGACATTTTAGCCGCTTATGAACGTCAAATTTTTCAATCGTCAATAAAGATTAAAAGGGACGCTGCTGCCCGTCTCTCGCTCTCCCGTAGTCGCCTCCTACGACACCAACGAAAAGGAATAAAATATTAATTTAATTTCATTAAGTCCCTACATTTTGCAGAGCAAACTCCATTTGTCGACTACATTGCAACGACGCAATAACCACAAGGCGTGAGCTTTACCCGCTTTTATATCATTTTTTACAACTAATTTATAGAGATGATAACTAAAGAGATTACGATCCGGAATTCTTGACCGATCGCCTCGTGTAATAAAGAGTCAAATGTCATCATTATTTTATCGATTTGAGGAACATAAATCCGGGTTGTTGATGATACACAATCGCTCGTGCCACTAGCACAAATCTGTCGAATCAAACTTTTATATACCTCATTAGTTAAATTCTATTGGTCAACTCATTATTGTTGTATTTATAATAATTATTGTCATTTATTTGTTGTATTAAATTGTTATTTTTATGTTCTTTTTTTCATGTTATACTTTGATAGAGTCTCATTACGTGAATACTTTTTCGTCTACGTCTATGGGTTTCGTAACTGGATAGGATTTCTGTAAATCCTTCCTTTCACCTCCAAACGTCCAGATCTACTTTTGTCATAAACAGAAATGTTTAATTCAAATTTCATTGTACCTATCATTAGTACTTAAAATAACTTATTGCGTAGAGTTTTATAAACATTTATAATATATATTTTAAAACCGGACAGTATTAACATAATTGCATGTGTATATTTCATGATAAAACTCCTAGTTCTACGTCATTAGCGCCTGTTTACAGTAGAAAACAAGTAAAAAGAAACAGTTCCAAGTTACTTCGAGATAATACAGAATTGAAGCAATATTTACAAGCAGTAAATTAGAAATATCATATGTGTAAGAAACGATAAATAAGAGAAAATCGAAAAAAATTAAATACGAGGATGGTAGTCGAGAAAATCAATAGAAATATGAAATGTTGTCAATAAATGATATTAAAAAAACTATATGAAAATCTCAAAAATTGAAAGGAAAAATATTTAAAAAAAAATATTTTGAAAAAAATATTTGAAAAGAAGATTGTTCAATGTTCTAGGACGAAAATGCAAATTTTACAAGAATGGTATAAATAAAACTATTAATCAAAATTACATATAAAAAGACAAATTCAGCTTAAAGGTTTTAAGTGTTATAATAAAGTAAAATATATAATAAAGTCGAATAATTTTTCGATCGTGATGACTGCCAGAGAAAATGAAATCGTATCTCCAAAGAAAGATAAAAAGCAAAAGCTACGATGCAAAATAAACTACATTATTGTAAATGTTACTTTTCTGTCCCAAAGACCAGAGTAGAGTAGTAGAGATTAGAGAACATACTTCAGATTTTTAGGAAAAACTATTGGAAAGAATATAGCAATGTCATAACACGTTAATTCGTTAAATATTTATACGTTATAATTATCTGTTAATATATAGATATTTGAAGAATGTTAGTGGAATTTATAAATCTTAAATTATTATTTAAATATTGCAACAGACTATAATAGATCATAATTCAGTTGTTTTAAAACGGACAGGTATAAAGAAAAAAAAAACATATATATATTTTTATCAATTTAGGTTTACCTGCGCTAAATTGGGTTGCCTTTTGTATCACTTGTTATTAAGATTTACTGTATTTATTATTTATAAATGCTGCAAAAAAGCGTAAATAAATAAAAAAAACCATATCGATTACAGAAAGTACCATTAAAATCGGTTCAAATTTGGCAACGTAAACCTGTAACAATGTTACAAAAGGAATTGACGTATTGAAAATATGCGGAAGTAGCTTAAAAATAGATTCTATACTGTCCCTGTTGAAATCGAACCTGTAAACTCGTTTATACGAATTAGCATGCACACCACTGTACCACAGAGGTTATTTTCGTCGTCGTTATGTTTCGTAAGCAGTGATTGATCGTTCAAAAATTGACGGAAGTGTGGCGGAGCTCTACTGTCAAATCGTCATAACGATACAATGTTGTTTGTTTAGCAGTCTATCTACGCGTCTGTGTAAATGAAGTAAAAAAAATTAACAATAACAGTGTTGTAAGTAATCATTAGCAACAAAATGATAGTTCTGGTAAAATCTTCTCTTCAAATTAATTTTGTAAGATTATTAATTTCAATGCACTTAAAAAACGAAGAGTTTATTTTATTTATTTATTTAAGGAACACCAACAGCATATTGCA